GATTGAGAAGCCTTGAGTTAAACCAACCTGAAAACTCCTTCGGCCCCATTATTTCACTTTTTAAAAACTGTTCTTTACAGGAGCTGTAATTCAGTCGCTTGGGGGGAAAAAAGGGAGGAGATGAAAAGAGTCAATCCATATTAAGCGACTTAGTAATATTGGCTTGTTGCCTGGCGCTGTGCTATGTACTTGTCATGAGCACTTAAACCATGTCCCTGTCCAAACCCAATGTTAGGTGCCCTAGTCATCGCCGTTCTTACCGATGAGAAAACTGAAATACAAGGAGTTTTTGGAAACTTACCCAGGATATTTAGGTAGAATATGGATAAATAAATGAGCCATCTAAAATTTTTAGGGTTTTATAATACACCTGCCATTCTTATCTAAATATAAACTTCCCGCTTACCTGATGAAATTTCAGGTCCAGTGTTCTAAGAACTGTGAATATTTTGCATCTGCTTGATACATCCAAATGCATTATTGGGATTTAAATGTTGATATTTACTTATAGTGTAGCCATTTGGAAGTTTATTTGTCCCATTGAATTTCTGAGGTAACCATACAAGTTCCAGTTGAAGCGTATGCTAGCGATACTGTACACTCCCATCTGCAGCATTTGAAGGTTTTATCTGTGACATGTATCTCTTTTATTTCCACAGAGTAGCTCCAAGGTGGCACTTTTTAAAAGTTGATGTCTTGAATTTGAATCAGCCCACATGTAACTGTATTTGGGTTTTTTTTCAGTCCAATATATTGTAGCTATATAAAGTTTGATAGATTTAATGGATTTCTAGTATCCCTAGGATTTTTTGTGTCTATATGGAAAACAGGGTAACAGGAAGAATGTAGCTGATTTTGGACAAAAAATGTGCTATGGGGGTCAACTCATTTTCCTTCTCCCCCTCCCTCCCTCCCTCCCTCCCTTCCTTCCTTCCTTCCTTCCTTCCTTCTTTCCTTCCTTCCTTCCTTCTAAATAAATACTGTGTTTTATATAGACAAATGACCTGAAGTATTTTTTTAAATACTTCTTTTTTAAAAAAAATTTTTATTTATTTATTTATTTTTGTTTGTTTTTAGAGAGGGAAGGGAGGGAGAGAGAGAGAGAGAGAGAGAGAAACATCAATGTGTGGTTGCTGGGGGTCATGGCCTGCAACCCAGGCATGTGCCCTGACTGGGAATCGAACCTGTGACACTTTGGTTCGCAGCCCATGCTCAATCCACTGAGCTATGCCAGCCAGGGCGATCTGAAGTATTTTTAATATATTCATTCTTATACTGAAAGGGCTGTTATTTTAAATTATGATGAAAACTTTTAGCTTCTTTTTATTTGATATTTGGTGATTATTCTATATAGGATAGAAAAATAAAGATTGGTGTCTTCCAAAACACTGAATCCCAATAAATGAGAATTTTAAAATTATAAATCATTATAATACAGCAATTTACCACTTAAATTTAGCCAAATAGAATGACATCTTATTTTAACTCAGTTTTTTTAAAGAAAAATATGTTGCTGTATTTTATCAGGTAGTTACATTAATAGAAACAACAAGCACAGGACAATGCCACAGTGATGACATTAGTCAATCCAATGATTAAAACTCAAACTCCCTAAAAGATCAGAGTATTTAGCCAGGGATGTCTCTAGCTAATTTATGTTATCAGCGTCTTCTATACAGTTTTGTTACACAGAATAATCTTCTGGTTCAACGGACTGGTGTGACGGTTGAGAAAACTAAGTCCTTGCAAGATGGGAAGTTTTGTTTCATCACACACTCAGGCGGAGGGTGACAGCCAGAACATTCACCTGGCTCACTGCCCCGATCTTCCCCAGTGCCACCACCCCACCCAGCTGCTTTCTCTAGTAAGACAGATGTGATTGCAGTCATAATCTCAAAGGGCAACTAATAAAAACACCAAATGAACCTCTCTGACATGAATAAAAAAACCGAACTTGTGAAAAAGCAAATGCTATCATTCAGTGAGAGTTAATATGACTTTACTGATATCAAAAGATTTTAGTTCAAATAATTTGAGCCCATATAATGATCACCAAGACCCTCAATATTAAATTTCTAATTCCCCATGGTATTCATGAACCTATGTGAATGCTTATCTTTACACCCTGACACACAAGCACTCTGTAAATACATCTAACAAACATACATAAAGATGTTGCGGCATTCAAATTGTCAATAGATAAAGTCTGATATTCAGTTCTAAGAGCAACCACTGAGAAGAGTGAAAAGTAGGCTGGAGGGACAGTAGGGCGTATCGATTGAGAGACTGAGTCATAAGATCAAATTAAATGGATTCATTCCTCAGCTGCTACTTTTTAACTAGGATCTTGGGCAAGTTAATTCCTTAAACATTGATTTTCTCAATTGTAGAAATAATCATACGTCATATGACTAGATAAGATATACTGGGCACAAACTGGTCAATAAATGTCGTTGCTAGTAGTCTTAAAGTCAAATGTTTTTCTGGGAATAAACCTATTTCCAATGGAATAATAGGTTTTCCTCCCAGCCAATTTATCAAAACATACCAAGGTCCTGCTATGTATGAAAGGCATTTTTCATTTTGAACCCAAATATACTCTAGCATCACACGTGCACAGAGGCGCACCCATACCATGCGCGTGCGCACACACACACACACACACACTCACGGCTGGGACCGTCTCCTTTTTAAACCATAGAACTAAAGAGTAGTCATTTTGATTTTATTAACAGGACACACATTAGTGTGGTCAAGCTCTGTGATTTCATAAGCTATTCTTATTTAGAGTTTTATCATGAGATTGCAATTCTTTCCTTCTCAAATTAGCTCTCCACAGATGTTTTATAAAAAAAACCAAGACTCAGCTTTGGAGAGTCACGTGGTTGACTTCTTTAACAATTAGGCTTCTGCTTTTAGTTTAGCTGGTGATAATATGGTTTTATAGTTAGTGCAAATGCAAAGTATCTCTTAATTTTTTGACTTGCTGCTTGGATTAAAATATCAAGAAAGTACTTTAAAACTACCTTTGCCATATTAGTGAAAAGGAGTAAGCAGGAGGCACCAGAATGTTAGCTTTCCCACCAATGTAGTACTTTCTTCTATGAGACTTACTGCTACATGTAATAGAAAGTTAAGGCTTTGTCCAAGAGTAACAACATCATTTTACTAAACACAAGGTCCATTTGGTGAAAAAATTTATAAGCAATCAGCTTGATAGAAATGGTTGTTCAGATTAACCACAAAAGTGACTTTGGTAGTCTTTGGATAAAGTTATAGTTTAGTGTTCTATTTGAAATACAGACTCCTGGACCTAGCTTCCACGCGGTGAACCAGAATTTCTTAGAAAAGTTCTTCAGGACTCCCACTTTCTGGAGCTCATTATAAAGCTTGGGAACCACTAGATGAGACCATACCATTTATATTTGAGTGCAAAATGGTATTGTGTGGGAAGGCAGAGGAAAGCTTTGAATTCATATTAGCAGCTCAGACATTTACCTGGGCTCTGCCTCTTACTGGTGGTGCAATCTTGTTAATCACTGAACCTCTCTGAGCATTTCGTTTTCCCTGTTTACCAATCAGGGTGGTTACAGGAGGCCAAGGCGGTGGTGCACGCGAAGAAGTTTTATTTTGTGTCCAGTGATACAGATGTAAGGTGGCATGATTGTTACTGTTATAGTTAACACGCACTCTAACTAATAATCCAACTGATCTAATAAAGTTGTTTTCCCATGTAACATTAAACACTTTAAGTCATAATCTAGGTGTCGAAACAGAACACGCATTACGGAACGTGATCGGGGTGGAAGACCAGCAGTGAAGACAGGTTCCATGCAGCGGCCGGCATCTCAGATAGAAGTGTTCTCCGCAATGTGGAGTCCAATAAGGACAACAGCAGGGTGGCGCCTGCACAGAGAAGTCAGACTGCATGGTGAGCACATGGACAGTGAGTGCTCACGTGGGAGTCTGCTCAGCAAAGAGCCAGTAGCTGTGAAGACCATAAGCCGGACATAAATACACCAGGCATGGAGTGCTACAGCTGGAGCAGTGGCTGAGCCCCAAAATACTCCAAGAACATGGCACCATTTTTTTTCCATACTTAGCCAAGGCAAGATCTCCTTGGACACTGAAAGCAGTTCTTGGCCTCCTCATCAACAGCACTTGTTAAAAATAAAACTGAGACAGCACAAGTGCGAATAAACACGTTTTTGAACAGTATAACTTCTGATCAGAGGATTAGCCAATAGAAAATGAAGAACCACTCCCATGAGTATTGTCTAGGCCCTTCTGAAGGGTGAGCCTGACATTGCCAGAACCCTTCATATCTCCTGAAATATCACGAGCCCTCGGGTTATTCATTTGGTCAACAGACCTTTCTGGGCTGATCTGTAATGTGCCGGACACTGTGCTCGGTAGATACTGGAGGCACAGGACGGCAGATGCGGCTCGTGACCTCGGGAAGCAACGGCTTGCCTGTCCCTTGCGGCACGCACCTCCTTTAGAAGGTTAGCAAAAGCGGCTGCAGCTACTTCTCTCCCTATCCCCACACCCCTTTGCAATGTGACAGCAGCTTCTACCACCAACAGGCCGAGTCTGTGTTCCACCCCTTGAATCCCGAACCTGGGACCCCCACGCAAACATGATAGAGGCAGCCATTCTTGCTGCGGTCATCCTAGATCAGCCAGTTGACAGCAGGCCTGGCTACGGCTGCTGACCACAGAGTGAGTCCTGCTAAGGCTGGAAAAACTGCCTGGCCCACTCCGGTCCCAGTTACTGATTTATAGAATCTCCAACTCAAAATTGGCACCTTTGAGCCACTAAATTTTGGAATGACTTGTTATGCAGCAAAAGCTAACTGAGTAGCTCTTCACTACGTGAGTATGACTCAAGAGTTAATTTCGGGCACAGACGTTTGTCATATGGCTTATCAAATTACCTTGATAAGTGCCAACTCTCCACTTCACTTTGCGCTGTGTGGGCTGGGTCTCAGTGTACAGCTGTCAGAATACAGACACCCTGGGAAGGTTTGATATTGGGCCTCTGATCTGCAGAATATGAAGTGGACTAATGTGCTTGAGGTGTGACATATATAGGATAATACATTTCTCGGAGAAAACACAAATACGCAAGCGGACATAAACATCTAGGAAAATACAAAATTCAAACAAGCATTTCAAAAGTTAATGCGAATCCAATTAGCTTTGTTTTCCCAGCATGATGGCTCATGCTGTTCAAGAAACACAACAAAAACAACCTTTTTGTCAGATGCCGAATTCGTACAATGAATCAATTAGGTCCTGCAGACACAGACATAAAGTCTCCGATTTTTCCTTCAAATAATTGTATTATTTTGATGTATTATTGAAACCACCACCAAAGGCTGATGTATCGTCCCAGATGTCAGTGTAACTGGCTTGATTCTAATGATCACATTAGTGGAGATTAGCGAAAGGATCTTTGATTTATCTTCATTTTCAAATATGTCAGAGTGTCTTTTCCTCCTTTCCTGGCAGCCACTCCTCTTTGTCCGGCTCTCCCAGCTGGGCGTTTTGGGAAGGCTGCCAGTTCCCGGGCTAATGCGTTTCTGCTGTGATCTGACACTGATGCTGCTTCACGGAGGCAGCGATGAAGATAAGCGCTAATTGGATGTATTTTTAAAGCAAACCTTTTAGTTACTTAGAACAGAGCTTCCCCAATTAGCTTCCTTGCTCGTCTCTCTGGCTATGCAGGAACCACACCAATGTGGAAGAGCTGCATTTGGAAGGGAGTCAAGGGCCCGGGGCGTCTGAAGGGCCGCCAGGCTGAAGTCAGGAGAATTGCTAGCCGCGGGGCTGGGGGCGCTGAATTGCCGGGAGAGCAAGGCGAGTGAAGGATGCTGGGAGGATCAGAAGTGACCAGAGGCCCCGGTCATGGTCCAGGGTACACTACCTACAGCCACACCCTCAAGTGCCAGAAAGCAGGGGGAAGGTCTGGGGAGCACTGGAGGAGAAAGAACCAGTATTTTATACTGGCCATTCTGTGCTCCGATGGAAGTATTTTGCTGCAATGCAACAAATTGTAACTTTAGTTTGGAAGTGAGACTTTAAAATTGGATTCTTTAATATAGTGCCCTCAGGTTGAACAAAATCTACTTAAATCCCTGCCCTCTTTAGGTTACTCATAAGCTTTTGATAGCCGCTGAGAAGGAGAGCGGCTTAGTAACCGGGGAAGGTTTGAAAGTCTTGATGTGGAAAAAAATAGAGAAAAGAAGCAGGGTAGAAACACATTTCTTTCTGGCTTTTATTTCTGCGATGGATTTAGAAGTGAGACATAATAAGCTAATCTCCCTTTGGTTGGAAGTGGGCCTGCCATCATTATCTCAGACTTTCTAGGAGAAGCCAGTTCCCGTGTTCGTTTCAGCATTATTTAATGTGAGGGGTATGAGGATTCCTGACCCCGATGACCCACATTGCATTAGTCCAATTAGAGAGTGACTCTGGGCTCAGGCTGGGTGGCTGTAGTGGGCATAATGGCGGACGGCCAGGTGGGGCGTGGTGGAGGGACAGCAGAGAGAAAGCACCAGCCGACTCTCCCTTTGCCTCCTGGATTTTGCCTTCCTGTGATTTTTATGGAAACGTCTGTCCCCACAGACTTACCCCTGACGCTAGGAACTTCATCTAAGCTTCTGACTCAAGATTTCACTGCACAGGAAGTTTAAATTTGAGTTCTGGGTTATGAAATTACACAAGCTGTGATTTTTGGATGCTAGCACCATTATTTGAAAATGTACTTACTTAAATTAATATCAATATTTAAGCGATACGTTTGATTTGCTTTAAAGGTCAGACTCCAAATTTTGCAAATGCGCTTAATAAGCCAATATTAGCTTAGAGACAGATTTTTTTTCTCTGATTTCTCATATAGTTACCATATTGTGGGTAAATCTTGAATAATCTTTCATACAGGCCATGCTCTTCACTCCCCTGCACACAGAAATACACCTTGCAACAAATCATCACTCCTCATTTTTTTCTTCTTTTCTCTTTTGCTGTAACACCAATCTCTGGGAACAGCTTGTACCCATCACCACAGTCAGCAGTGTGCTGATTCTTTCTCTTTAACCATAGATTTGGAGCAGGACTGGCACTTGAGAAGTGACCCCTGTCATATTAGAGCGATGTGCATAAAGTACATGACATTGAGGGGGAAAACGAGAAGACTTCTAGATCAGGATCTCTTCCAAAGTATGCTAAATGTCATTAATTTTGCAAAGAAGAAAAAGCTATGAAGATAATGATTTTTAGAGGCTGTACAGATTTCTAGTTGGCATATCTCTACCTCTGAATGTCTACATACAGTTATATAGAGCTCAGTTTATAAATAAAGTGGCTTTCCAACACAATGATCAGAATCTGTGCCCTTCCTCCCTCAGTCCTCATGCTGAACCTCAATCCCCTCCTTCCTGGTTTTTTTTTCTGATGGATTAAAATCTTGGATTCATACAAAGCTCTTTAATTTCATGTCATCACCAGTAGGTATAATTAATTCTAGAAGCTACATACCTGATGGTTCGTCCTATCCACCGTGTTGGCTGTGGAGGGATGATCTCTAGTGTTCTGACGATTTCGAGCGGAGTTTTGCTGCTCAATGGTGGAGGAAGTTGGGATACAGAACTCTCGGAAGCATCGTTTGAAGTTTTCATCCAGAAACGCATAAAGGACTGGATTCAGGCAGCTGTTTGTGTAACCTAGGGCAATACAGAAGTGCCAGGAAACAGTCTGAAAAGTAGTTTCTGGGATGGTTATCAAGGCTTTAATGATGACGTAAATGTGAATGGGAGTCCAGCAGACGATGAACACAGCTACGACCACCAGCACCATCCTGGTGATTCTTCGAAGATTCCTGTCTTTTTCTTTGGAGCCAGAGAGCATACGGACGCTCTTGAGGCGTAATATCATCAGTCCATAGCACACCGTGATGATGAGGACGGGCATGACGAAGGCAAAGATGAAAACGCAGATTTTCAGTAGGTTTTCCCAGTACCAGGTAGGGTGAGAGAATGCTAGTGTACAATCTATGGAACCTAGGTGAAAAGAATTATAAGGAAGAATTAGCAGCAACATTTAGTTATGTCATTAGATATTAGCATTGCCATTTTGCTTACTAATTTATCACCTTGACTTGAGCTAACTTAAGGCTATTAATACACAAGCCAAAGTATTTAAAGAAACTCTGGGAGAAACTCAGCTCTTTGGTGATCTTCAGGGAGAGTTATTTTTATTTTTTTTTCTAAATATCTCATTCTGCTGTCCACTTTGACCACATTAAGGTTGCATTCAAGTCAACAATTAAGGGCCTCCCATCATAAGCTATATAATCACTGCCCAAAGTCTTTAGGACTTCCCAGATAATGGATGTTTTCACTTCACTTTCGTTGGGTGGTTTGTCATTCTGATAAGAGGTCTAGAAAGATAAATTTGCTATGTAGGCAACCACTTGAAATTGTAAAATAGGTCTCCACTTAATGCTTTTAGGTTTAAGCTCTAATTACTCTTGAAAGAGCTGTATTTTTATTTTCTCATCATCTTGATGAAATGCAGAGAAATCAGGAGCCAGTTGATTATATTCTCTTGCAATGTTTACTGGGCTTAAAAGGGAAATTTTAATTTAGAAGTATTCAAGGGCATTTTGCTAGAAAAACAATCATTAAAGTTACAATTTGACTAAGACTTTGGATATCTCCACGAATTCTACTTAGTTCATGAGTTCACTGACATAATCGATCTCTTAAATTCTCCAGTCCTCAAGTCTGCAACATGACTCACCATGCCTGTATTTTGTCGTTGCCATGAACATAACGGGCAGGCCAATGGCTGAAGAGAGGATCCAGTTGCAGACGTTGATGATTTTGGCATTGCGGGGAGTACGGAAATCCAGAGCCTTGACGGGATGGCAGACTGCAATGTAGCGATCAACGCTCATGGTACAGAGGGTAAAAATGCTGGTGAACATGTTGTAGTAATCTATGGAGATCACTATCTTACAGAGGATGGTTCCGAACGGCCATGTTCCCATGAGGTAATTGACACTTTGGAATGGCAGGGTACTGGTCGCCAAGGCATCTGCCAGGGCAAGGTTAAAGATGTAGATGTTGGTGGCAGTCTTCATTTTGGTGTATCTAGGAAGTGAAGGAAGAGGCCACGTCAGAAAAAGACAGCAGTGTGAAATACACATAAGCTTCCAATACTTATTTTAAAAATCTCAGGATTAGCAGAAAGCATTTGAGATTTGTCATGGATAAACTCGTTTCTAATACTAGATTGGCTATTTATAGCCATTTGCATATAGGCTACATATATAATTTCCCTACCGATCAGTTTTCTTACCTGCAAAATGGGTATGGCAATAGGTGCCATACTGATTCATTTATCATGTGCCAGCCACAGGAAGCTCTCAGTCAAGTATCCAGACACTGAATAATAATTCATTTTGATCCTAAGTACATAAAATTCATATATATCCATATATGCTTAAAATTGTGGAGCAATGTAACTATAAAAGAATGTCTGGAAGACGTCCAGCCATTGTTAATGTAATGAGAATGGTTTGCACAACATTGATGTAACCTGGCAGCCAAGGCCAGTGGACTGGAATGAGCATGTGTGAACAATGACAACTTCACTGTAGTAGTCAGTGAGGGCCATAGATGCCGTTTAGTGAGCATGTGTACTGTGAGGCCATTGCATTCAAAATACTGTTTGATGCATCTGTATCAAATTTTGCATTAAGCTTGAACATTCCTCTGTGGGAACTATTAGGATGATTCAGAAGCCTGCAGCTATGGGCAACTGGTGACTGGCAGCTTCATTACGATAATGACCCTGTTCATGCATCATATCTCATGCAGACTTTTTTTGTGAAACATAAAATCACCTGGGTGACTCAGCCCCCCTATAGCCCAGATTTGGCACCTTGTGACTTCTGACTTTTTCCAAAACTAAAATCACCTTTGAAAGGAAAGAGATTTCAGACCATTGATGAGACTCAGGAAAATAAGATGGGGCAGCTCATGGTGACTGGAAGAACTGTGTGAGGTCCTGAGGTACCTACTTTGAAGGGGACTGAGGTGTCATTGTCTTATGTGTAATATTCTTTTTATCTTCTTCAATAAATATCTCTTTTTCATGCTATATGGCTAGATACCTTTTGGAAAGACCATATATATAGAATATATATGCACACACACATATGTGCATGCACATGCACTTACACACACCAGCTATTATGGGGGCATAGAGATGAGGCAAAGAGACTAGACAGGTTAAGACAAGGAAAGAAGGAATGCATCCTGGGAATGCAAATGCACAAGTCTGCTCTTACAGTTGCTAGGCAGAGAGTATCTAAACAAAGGCACAAAATTGAAATGGCATGATGTCTGTTTGGCACAGCTAAAAGGTGAAATCCCAGCAGGGAATGACAATGAACTTGATAGAAGAGGAATACAGAGGCCAGTTCATGGAGGGACTTGTACACCATGGTAAAAGGATTAGGCTTTATCCAATCTGTATTGGGGAAGTAAGGTTGTTTGTTTTGTTTTTATTTTTTAATAGCTTTAGTTATTGTATAATTAAAGTGTACAATTTGATAAGTTTTGACACATGCACACATTTGTGAAACTATTACCATAATCAAGATCAGGGATTGGCAAACTATGGCCTACAGACTCAGTTGGATTGCTGCCTGTTCTTGTAAATAGTTTTATTGGAACACACTCCTACCACTTAATTACTTCCAATCTATAGCTGTTTCAGTGATACAACTGCAGAATTGAGTACTTGCAAACAAGACTCTATGACCTGCAATGCCTAAAATATTTATTATCTTGCTTTTTACAGTAAAAAGTAAACTCTTTATCAAGATCATGAGCATATCAATTATCCTCAAAAGTTTCTTTGTGAAGGTCTTTAAACTTTCCATCCTACCCATCCCTGCCTTAAATCCCACTCCCAATGATCCTTAGGCAATCACTGATCTTGATTTGTCTTCTGTCATTGATTAGTTTGCATTTTCTAGAATTTTATGTAAATAGAATCATTGAGTATATCTTTGTGGTTTTTTTGGTCTACTTTCTTTCATTCAACATAATAATTTTGAGATTCATCCACATTGTTGCATGTATTAATAATTCATTTTTAATCACAGAGTGGTATTTCACTGTAAGAACATGCCATAACTTGTTCATACATTCATTTAACAATTGGAATTGAGTTGGGTCCTATTTTTAGATATATAAATTAGCTGTTGTGAACATTCATGTACAAATATTTTCTTGAAAAAAAGTTTCCTTTCTCTGGGATAAGTATCTAGGAGTGTTATATGTGTTTACAGCTGCAGAAATTAGAACTACCACATGGAAGGAATGCTGACAATACTAAGACATTTTACCCAATGGTAGAAGAACACCTTACAAATATATTGTCAGATATATTTGACATTCCACATCTGTTTACCCTCATTTTCCACTCTCAGTCCACATGCATTGCAATGGGCTCTAATACTAGTTCAGGATATAAAGATGTAAACTGATTGGGACAATGGGGGACATTTAGTGATGCTTCAATGTCTCATGTTTCAAACAGAGTCAATGAGGTTATTTGAGTACTTCTGGTGAAAGAGTGTATTATTTTTCCCACAGGACCCAAACCTTAAATGATGGAAAGTATGCAGTTCTGGAAGGGCCTGTCTGAAAATGGAGCCAACTCAGAGCATGCAGAATTGACAGAGAGAGAAACCCACAGCTGATGCCAGATTTCCTTGGACTTTTTATTTCAAGGTGAAATGAGTTCTATGTAATCTCTAGTTTGTATTTATTGTTTTTCACATAAAATTAAGAGTCTAACCCATTCAGCCTGAGATAGCTCTTGGTTGGAAAAGATGGTATTACAGACTCATTTGTTTGGGGCCTTAATTCTTCATGCCATTTCTCCAATAATTACTACTTAAGAAAAGACATCATTGATTATGACCCATTTGTGCTAAATGAAGACACACTGAATAAATTACTTGTGTATGTTGATGGGTTTTGCAAATATTTTGTTATTTTATTTTTAAGTTAATTCTAGAATTGCGATGACCCTATCTCAGTGTAGAAATAAAACCGACCAATGGAGCTTAAAAAAGAGGAAGAGCAAATTCTAGAATCCAGTTTGCCAGTTTTGTATCAAGTCAAGCCCTTTGCATGGGTCAGCTACCTTTTCTGGGAGTTCACAAAAGAGACAATTGGAATGCACAGAAGACCTTCACCTCCTTTTGGGCTGATTTTCTGCTCTTGAATGTTTTTACCAAATGGCGTTTTTCTTCCTTTTGCTAATATAGCAGAAGATGAAAGCTACGTAATTCAGTAAGGATTCATTCAGCACTGTGTTTAGGAAGATACCTGTCTTATATCTGCTACAACTTTCATGCCCACTTACACTCATGTAAAGAAATTTACATTTTTTATGGAGGAAAACATTCCCTAGAATATCATCTTTTTTTTAAGTAAAAGGGATTTTTTTTAAAAATTATTTTATTGTTCAAGTACAGTTGTCTGCATTTACCCCCCACCATTCTACCCCAGCCATCCCCACCTCCCTCCCCTGCTTCACCCCCCTTGATTTTACCACATGTCCTTTATAGTTGTTCCTGAAAACTCTTCTCTCCTTCCCCCCTATTATCCCCTCCCATCTCCCCTCTGGTTACCATCAGATTGTTCTTAATTTCAATGTCTCTGGTTACATTTTGCTTGTTTCTTTATTTTGTTGATTAGGTTCTTCTTAAAGGTGAGATCATATGTTATTTGTCCCTTACCACCTGGCATATTTCACTTAGCATAATGTTCTCCAGTTCCATCCATGCCGTTGCAAAGGGTAGGAGCTCCTTTTTCTCTGCTGCATAAAATTCCATTGTGTAAATGTACCACAGTTTTTTGTTGTATTAATTTACTGATGGACCCTTAGGCTGCTTCCAGCACTTGGCTATTGTAAATTGTGCTGCTATGAACATTGGGGTGTATAAGTTTTTGGGGGTTGGTGTTTCAGGATTCTTAGGATATAATACCAGTAGTGGAATTGCTGGGTCAAAAGGCAGTTCCATTTTTGTCCTAGCCACAGCAATCAGACAAGAAAAAGAAATAAAAGGCATACAAATTGGAAAGGAGGAGACAAAACCGTCATTGTTTGCAGATGACATAATAGTGTACATAGAAAATCCTGTAGACTCCAACAAAAAAACTACTCAACCTAATAAATGAATTTTGGCAAAACAGCAGGATACAGTCAATAGTCAGAAATCAAAGGCATTTTTTGTATGCCAAGAATGAAATAGCAGAAACAGAAATCTGGAATATCATCTTTTAATACCCATGATCAATTGGATAAATCCAAGGAAGTAAAGGCACTTGTTCTACACTTCAGGTTTTATTTAGATTACAAAAGTGATCATGTGAGTAACTACCTGAATTTCTCCTTTGTTAGTTATCAGTTCTATTTTCATATCCCAGGCAAATGTGTGTGTGTGTGTAGGAGAGAAAGAGAGAGCTCAAAAGCAATCAAAACAAAAATCAAAATCATTGATATATTCTTATTAGGTATTAACAAAGAACTGTATATTAGTTTATTCTCTGGTATGTTCTTCACTAGCTCAGTGAAGGAGGGCATGGGATTTCTCACTTTTCTATAAAATGTTCTAAAACATTTTATTTACATTTATTTCAAAGTGGTTTTGTGTGGTCAATGAACAAATTTACAATGAGCTTATACTAGCAAAAGGCAAGAGTAGCAACTCAGACCTCTGAGCCCTGCAGAGAGAAAAGTAATGATTGTTTACTAGATTTTCTCACAAGAGAGGGCAAAGAGGCTTATGGAAAATTAGACAAAGATGTACCTCCTTCCAGAGGCCAATTGGCTCCTTCTGTCTCTGTGACACCAGCTGTAATGACCAGCAGAGTCTTTTTGGTTGGGGGTTTCTCTCTCTTTATCCACTCCCACTTCATTTTTTGTTCTCTTCATATTCTCACTTTCTTCTTCCTCCCTGTCCCATTAATGACAACTCATGAGAGAGGCATCTTTCAGATAGAGTGAGGAAAAAAGCTGCCTTCTTGAAGCTACAGATAAACTTTATCAATAGAAAATGTGAAGT